GCGTTATACAACTAACAAACAAACAAAACACAAAAAGAGAAAGTGTATGAGTACTAAAACTTGCAATAGATATGCGTACCCTACGTACACACATGAGTCCCATTCGACAGTCTACAACACACGAATAACTGTCAAACAAGTTTGGGTACCCCTTCTGTTCAGGCAAGTTATTTAGTTTCGATAATTTTGTATTAAAATCCTTTTCAACTTGTTTTCATCCTTTTTCCCTATTCCATGCATGTTTATGTTGCTACATCTTATTGCTCATGTTTCCAAGTATTGTAAAACACTTTACTGTTTCTCCTTCTTAATCTAACGTTATAACATTTCCGGTCATTGCCATCATCTAATACACAAGAGATGATACCAAGACATATTTTATTCGGTTTTATGGTCTATGCGGTCTTACAATTGATTTTATTAGTTTTTAAATCTTATGTCTAGTAAATAGTTTCACAAACAGGGCTGTTAACTGATATAAGGAATGTAACATCCAGTTGAGGACTGAATACGACGTACGTTAGTCTGGTAACGACATTTCTACAATTAATATTTTGAATAAGCCGTTAATACGCCAGTTGTGACAGGGATGATGGTATGGTAGATGTAGCAGACATATTGACAGCCGTTGTTACGCGAGTCACTAGGTTATTAGTATGGCATTGGCCTTGTTGATTGGTGCTATACTTTCTGTGGCCACTGGCAGACGTAATTGAAACTCCTTCCACACTGACATCGCACCAAATATATTTGTGTACGGATTACATAACTCTTACTGACAGGGTAGGGTGGTAGTTCACGCGAAACGGACGACACTGTGTATATTGAGCGGCTCCTTTGATATCGCCTCACAACATACTTTTAATGAATGACCAATTAAACGATGATACACATCAGGATCGCGGAGAAAATACAAGCTTCGTTCGCGTTGAATATATATATCAAGGCACAAATTCATCTTTCATAAACTTTTTGTGTCTTGGTGCTTAATATGTCCACATATCAACGAAAATATTTAATACATGTATCCACCAAAATATACATGTACAGGCTAGGTATTTGCCCACAGCAACACCTGCATAACTGTTTATTCACGTGTGGTGTGGCAGATTGTAATTGACCGACAGCAGGAATTGTAGAATCACCTGTAAATAAGGCCAACACTGTAATTATATACAACGTACTAATGAGAATTATCATAAGAAGGCTGTTGTTTTTTCTGAACTGTTACCATTTTCATTCCAAAAGTGACAATGCAGTTAAAAGTTGCTTTAGTGTCACAATATTCACTCACGTTTTCCTCAATCGCATTGAAACATAATTCCTACTGGTCAGTTCGACACTGCTTGTAATTAAATAATTATTTCGAGATTTCGTTAGAATGTAAGATATTCAGCCAAACGTTATGCAATAAAAGACAAATAGTTTCTTTCGATAAAAATACGCGCACGCGTACCTGTCACGTAATTGAACAGTGTGATGTATCAACGGGTCATAAAATGGGAAATGAAATAGAAACTAACTAAAATTTATTGTTGTACACGCACATGAATTCGTATGATAAACTGCCAAAACGTTTTGAGGGATAAGGCCGGGTTCATTAAAGATGTTGGGTGCGGTTAGGACCAAACTTTTTCAGCTCAGAGTGTTAGTGGTCCTGGAACCCATAGTGTCAAACAGGTTCTGCACAATACGTCCATCAGATTCTACTGTTCAGCAACATTGTCACTGAATTTCAGAACTCTGGCATGATATAATAATCAAGGATTTCGAAGGCAAAACCTTTTCTCGCCCATGGGCGAAATATTTCAATAAATCTGTAAAATAGCTGAATTGAGTAAAATTGAGTTACATTATGTGCCATGAAAATAGTAAGAACACCTGCATGTATTTGCGAAACAAAAACATAAGTTTTAAGTAAAGGAAAATATTCTCGCCCATGGGCCAAACCCTTTTCTCGACCATGGGCGAAATATTTCAATATCGCTATAAAATCGTTGAATGGGCCAGACTTCGCCCATGGGCAGGCCCATGGGTGACATACCGTATTTTATTGAGTATAGTGCGCACCCATGTATAATGCGCACCCCCCTCTAGCGGGTTCAATATTTTGGAAAAAAAAAGAAATTTGAATATTATGCGCAGAATTTTTTTACACCGTACCCTTTCAGCGAAGTCCGGCAAACGAACGGGTGCTGAGAAACTTCGTCAGTACAAATTCGAAATTTGAGATAAAAAATTACCAGACATGTTTATTTACTGTTTAAATAGTATTTATTGTTCTGCTAGGCATTGTTTTATATTTAGGGATTAAGATTACCTTGCGTATTTTCTCGTAAAGTAAGCTGGAAACAGCAATCAGCTGTACACACGTTTTCTTGGAATCGACCGGTGATTCGGTCAAGGCACACCCAATGATATAACTTTATAAGATTTTTAATGCTAGGATCGGCAACAATTGTATCTGAAACTATTTTATTTATCAGGAATAATATATTCCATTATTTTCTTAATTACATGCAACCTTACTAAACATATTTAAAATAATAATAACCCTAAGCGAAGCAGCCGATCGCTATTCCCGGGTATTATTTTTTACATGGAACATGTCTGACCAGTCACCGTCAAGGCTCACGCGCACGTGATCACATGATCGCGAGAATTTCATGTTGACATAGAATCGTCAAACAAAAACAAATATGACTTTTAACGAGTCAAAGTATGTCATTTATGATATATGTATCCATTCTCTGTCAACTAAAGTTTGTTTCAAGGCGTCAATAGCGGTATTCTGACCGTGTTTGCTGTTAATAACGGTGAGTTGTGCGATCTTCCGATCGCTTCACACACGATTTCGCCGAAATTAATAAAAACAATATTATAAGGAATTTTGAATAAAATCAATGAAATAAGTTACAAACATAAGTCCAGATATACAAAGAACACTTTTATAGCCAGACAGTGCAATTACATGATTAATTTGCGTACTTCAGTATGGATTTGTTGACATGGTATTCCCGGTGTTTCGTGCTCACGGTAATGTCTTTCCATGGGGCAAAAAAACATCCAAACTCATAATTCGTGTATAATGCGCACCCCCTTCTACACAGCTGTATTTTTTCGAAAAAAAAGTGTGCACTATACTCAAGAAAATACGGTAGTCTAAATATTGAGTTTTTGAACATTTTTTTTTTCATTTTTTCATTAAATTTTGTGTCATGATACTTCAATGAATACATTTAATGGGCCAAACCTTTTTCTCGCCCATGGGCGAAATATTTCAATATCGCTATAAAATCGTTGAATTAAGTTAAAATGAGTTAAATTTTGTGTCATGATACTTCAGTAAATACATTTAATGTATTTGCGAAACAAAATCATGAGTTTTAAGTACAGGAACATATTCTCACCCATGGGCCAAACCTTTTTCTCGCCCATGGGCGAAATATTTCAATATCGCTATAAAATCGTTGAATTAAGTTAAACTGAGTTAAATTTTGTGTCATGATACTTGAATGAATACATTAAATGTATTTGCGAAATAAAAACATGAGTTTTAAGTACAGGAACATATTCTCACCCATGGGCCTACCCATGGGCCAGACTTCGCCCATGGGCAGGCCCATGGGCCACACTTCGCCCATGGGTGACATAGTCTAAATATTGAGTTTTTAAACAATTTTTTTTAAACATTTTCTTCCTTGGTATGTTCCCATGAAAACGGCATGTTTAATTTTGTAAATACCTTTAACCGAGACTGGGCAAAGACCGTAGAGTTTCTGGACTTTTGGGTTTCCAGAATTAAAATGGGACGTGTTTTTTTCTATTTGACAAGTGTGCAGGTGGAAGGTAAAGGGAACAGATTATGTTTGATTTTCAGGATTTATTTTTTATGATTATTTTCGTTACTCCACTACCAGACTGGGCTGCATCATTTTCATCATTTATTAGAGGGGCTGATGATATAGTTTTTGAACAAATTGTTTTTGCAGCTTTATGTAGAACAAGATAATTTATGTTTGTAATTTTTTGTCTTATATATATTGTGACAATTTTGTCAAAGAGGTATCAGGGAATTCTAACAGTGGAATATGACACAGAGTAAATCTCCCTTACCCAATGGTTGTCTCCCCCTTGGTGATTCCAGGGAAGAGTAAATCTCCCTTAACCAATGGTTGTCTCCCCCTTGGTGATTCCAGGGAAGAGTAAATCTCCCTTACTCAATGGTTGTCTCCCCCTTGGTGATTCCAGGGAAGAGTAAATCTCCCTTACCCAATGGTTGTCTCCCCCTTGGTGATTCCAGGAAGAGTAGGTCTCCCTTAACCAATGGTAGTCTCCCCCTTGGTGATTCCAGGGAAGAGTAAATCTCCCTTACCCAATGGTTGTCTCCCCCTTGGTGATTCCAGGGAAGAGTAAATCTCCCTTACTCAATGGTTGTCTCCCCCTTGGTGATTCCAGGGAAGAGTAAATCTCCCTTACCCAATGGTTGTCTCCCCCTTGGTGATTCCAGGAAGAGTAGGTCTCCCTTACCCAATGGTTGTCTCCCCCTTGGTGATTCCAGGGAAGAGTAAATCTCCCTTACCCAATGGTTGTCTCCCCCTTGGTGATTCCAGGGAAGAGTAAATCTCCCTTACTCAATGGTAGTCTCCCCCTTGGTGATTCCAGGGAAGAGTAAATCTCCCTTACCCAATGGTTGTCTCCCCCTTGGTGATTCCAGGAAGAGTAGGTCTCCCTTACCCAATGGTTGTCTCCCCCTTGGTGATTCCAGGGAAGAGTAGGTCTCCCTAACCCAATGGTTGTCTCCCCCTTGGTGATTCCAGGGAAGAGTAGGTCTCCCTAACCCAATGGTTGTCTCCCCCTTTGTGATTCCAGGGCAAAAGAGGTCCCCATGATGATGGTATGTTTATCAAAGGTCAAGGCCAGGTAGAGGGTGTTTAGGGTGATTGGCAGCTCTAGTTTCATATAAAATAGTTGTCTAAACAAAAAGCAAATCATTCCAGGCAGATCCTGCTGCAAACCTGCCCTTCAACCTGAGTCTGACAGACAGTGAGAAGGCAGCTCGGAGCCAGGTGAAGCTGCCCTACATCAAGGATAACAAAGGGTAGGTTTTGGGGTCATTGAACGAGAGCATCATCTTTATGCACTCATTCTTGGTTTTGTTGTGGAGATTAGTTGGGTCCCCACTCCCCAGTAACCTATTAATGAGTTGACTTATGTATGTGTGAGATTGTTGTTTAATGCCCCACTCCACACTATTCCTGCAGCCTGTAAATAATCTGGACCAGACAATTCAGTGATTGATATTGTGAGCAAGAATCCACACCGTCAGGATATGATAACGACACCCCCAATGAACCAAGTCACTGAGTCTGACCACTTCATCCATTAAGGTGCCTCTCACGTCCAGCATGTGTTGCTAGGTATTAATTATTAATTACCACCCAGAATCCCTACCGGGTAGCTGACGAATGAGGATCAGGTGGTGTGTGATTAGGGCTATTGAATGTCAATACGTAGTGACAACATGGCTTGTAGCTGATTCTGCCATCCATTGTGGGCCAGGAGTAGTCTGCATGACTCAAAGATAGCTGTAGCTGGTGTAATGTTGTCTGGGATGTAATACAACACCCCTCCCATGTGACACTCCAAACAATGTAGCAGTCAGCATAGCATAGCACATTTAGAATTCTTAAACAGCTAATGTGCAGTGATCTACATGTTAATAGTGTGATTAAGGCCATAAGAATCCTTATATCACACCATGATACATTTCTGTCACAACGGGGGCGGTCGGGTAGCCTAGTGGTTAAAGCATTCGCTCGTCACGCCGAAGACCCGGGTTCGAATCCCGACATGGGTACAATGTGTGAAGCCCATTTCTGGTGTCCCCCGCCGTGATATTGCTGGAATATTGCTAAAAGCGGTGTAAAACCAAACTCACTCACTCACTCTGTCACAACGCTTTGAGAATCTTATTACATTCATAGGCTTTTCCTTCTTACACCGCCCTGGTTTGATTCCCCACGTGTATGTGATATGTAATGACGATCTCTTGTGTCTTGTACTTTCGTTTTTCTGCTTGAGAGGATCGTTTGAGAGTAATAGATCAGGTTTTAATGAGGTTGAGTGACAGGAAAACCTATGAACACAATAGTTGCTTGAGTAAATTATCTCTCCACGTTTGTTGGTTCCAGGGGCGAGCCCGAGACTCAGGTATGGGGGAAGATCTTCTATCAGCCTGATGATGCCGATGACTTTGATGAGGAAGACCCAGACGAAGACCTGGACATCTGAACAGCTGGAACTCTTTTATTCTTACAGCCACAATGCTGACATCCGAATTACCAGAACAATGTTATACAAACAGCTGGACATATCAGTCCAATTATATTGGTTGTTGCCTTTATTTTGAGGGACATGTTTTAGGCTGGAGCCAGACATGTTTTTATGCTGGAGCCAGATATGTCTGTTTGGTGTGCATCTCATGTTTTCCAGGAGAGTAAGCATAAACAAATTTGAGAAAGGGTATACTCGAGCAAATAATTTGCGATTTACAATGGACTAAAACTCTAAAACAACTTCATACTTTTATGAAGTCCAGCTTAACTCAGGGGTTTAATTCCATATTATTATTTTTTACCCAGTCAAATTACGCACAGACATACACACATATCTATTTTAAGGCCAGATTCTTTTTCAAACTTTAACTCCAAAATATTGAATTGTGAAATAAAAAAAAATAAAAAAGTTTTTTGTTTTATTTCAACCACTAGAAATAAGTAAATACAAAAACAACAACTTATTTACTGTCGCTGTCAATATGAATAAATTATTTAGAATTCTAAATTCTATTTGTTACAAATTTCTCTTAATAACTCCCGGTCCCCATCTCTATTTTGTTTCAATATTTTTTCTGACCTACTTTTGAGAAAATGAAAAAAACATTGTATATGGGCATTTATATATTTATTTTTTCAACCTACTGACCTGAATTTTTGGGCAAAATCCCACAACACCCCACATCCCAATAAGGTATAACAATTATATTGCGCTATTGGTTTGAAAACTGAACATTAATGTTGACAATACCATGTCAACCATCTGAAACCTTTTAAAGTTATTAGGTGTTAGATATAATTATTACACCGAAGGCTCAATCTGATGTAACAAAGGTCATGCATGTTGCCTTGTAAACATTGTTAATTCATATTGTCTCTTTGATCTGTATTATTGTTGTTCTGAGCGTGCAGATATATCTAGTAACATTGATCCTGAGTTTGAAGCCAAGATTCAACCACACTATTATTGGTCATTTCACTTCAGAGGCAACCTAATTAACCTTCATCATCCACGGTGTAGTGGATAAAGCATCTGCCTGAAGAGCAAAATGTTGCTGGTTCGATCCCTTGCCCGCATCATACATTAACTTCTTGTTACCCTGCCTGGCGCTCAGCATTAGAGGGATAAAACACACACAGGCCTGATATCATCTCAATTTGATAGTGATTCATAAACACATGCTTATGAGATAGTCGGAATCATACATGGGACTCTTATGATTATGGAAATGGTTATTGTCGCTTTTATCAGAATATGTCCCAAGTTTAGTGGCTTGGCTGATTGCATGTCATCGAACTTTGATATCACTACTGAAAGCAGCTAACCGATAAACATCAAGCAAACGATCAACTTGGGTACATAATTTCTAGGTTGTTCTTGGTGGTGTCTGTTGTTGCCGTAAGATGACACTCTCACCCCAACTATTATTAGCCCAGTGGTCTCAGTTGTCGCTGGTTGCTTGCCATTTGTTGGAATCCCGCTTGGAATAAGCAAGTGAGCAATAACCGGAAGTTGGTTTAGTGGACCTGTGTTACTTTGCGGCTTTTCTCATTATGAGATCATGACATGCATGAAACACAGACAAAAGCGAGGTAAAGCTTCATCTTACGATCCTCAGACCAAAACAGTCAATCATATTATCGGTATCTGCTTTGTGTATAGTCAAGGGAGTATATTTGTGAACATAAAGACAGTGATGTTTCATCCTGGGTATGTTGTAAACGTGATGATGTTATTTTGTTGTACTTTACATGCAAAATGTGCTATTTTGAGATTAAATATGTACAACATTTAAGAATATGTACGTTCTCAATACAAATACGGGGTGTGGACGCCCCTGTGGTCCAAAACGCTGGAATTTGCTATGCAGAGTTGTGTGCCTGAGCCAGGACCAGGTGACCAAACTTTTTGACAGGGAGTCTTTGTCTCAGTGGTCTCCCTAACATCGTCAGAACTTCACGGGTTTGTATACACTACGTACCTGCATCACCTGACATTTCTGCCAATGTGCGGTGTAGTGGTAAGGCGTTTCAGTTATGACATGGGGCCGTGTGTAACTGACAGTTAGTGCGTGGATTGTGTGGGAAACCCCGTCGTCAAATATTAAGCAGTGTATGGATTAGACGTCCTCATGTTGAAGAAGAAATAATGGTTCATTGGTCAAAGCAACCCCTGGAGATTCCTTAATATCTGACCTATTTTGACCTATGTACCCAACAGAAAAATCTCAACAATATTTTAACAGCGCGTCTTTATAATTTTGTATTCGGAACTCCCCGATTATGTTCGTTTTAGCGATAAAGACATCATAAATACTTGCCTAAATGCTTCGATCACGCGTACCGAGAATTTAGAAACCTCTACGCTGTGATGAGTTATTTAAGGGTTCACTTGTCGCCGGCGACCCCCTATGCCATGGCAGTGTCCTCAGAATTTCACTCAGAGGTATTGCATTGAGTCAAAGATCTGATTTATGAGGTTGACTTTCGACACCTATGTTTGCATTCGTCGCCGTTACTCACAAGAATGTGATGGGCTTGTCCAGGAATGATACAAGTTTATCTCGAATGCTGTGTTGGTAGATTTGGTATCACGAAGTAATCTGGTTGCGATGTCGTTCAGCGCAGCAGTTTGTGCTGTTTTAGGCAACACACGATGATAAATACTGTAACATATCCGGTTATGGGTGCGCATCCGTAACGTCCTTTAGGAATGTAAATAAACTTACATACATGACTACACCCCGTAATATTTTGTCTTGGAGAAAAACAAGTACAAAAACTTCATTTTTCGCCATTTGTAGACTGGACGCTTAGGCTGCCAGAAGGACATGGTACCAGTCTACGCCATTTGTATTTATTCTATTTAATTCAAATATTTACTATTACCCAAAAGGAATGGGATCGGTGAACAGGTCATTTAACAATTAATAAGAGCAAATTGTACGTAAAATTCGACATCGAGGATTAACGAATGTCATGTTTACTGGCATTCAGTGGCAGCCTACGAGAATTCGGTCATTGCCTGTCGATTCGTTCAGGTCGACCTTGGCATAGTCAAATGACGCAGTTGACATTTTCATGATATTTAATATTTCCATTTCACGATATGTCTCTGCGTTTGCGCATGGCCCCAGTTTTCAGAAAGTTAGAAAAAGACTAACTGCGGGAAACTGATTTTACTTAGTTGCAGAAAAGTTAGTGTTCAGATATGAAATGAAATTCAAACGTTAACAGTTGGAGAATAACATGGATTAATATGTGACAGGAGTTGTCAGCCTTTGCATTGTATCAAAACCCGGAAGAATTAGTTTTTCGTTTCACCGATAATCAATTGGCCAACCAACAACATACGCCATGAGTTAGGCAAAATACCTGTCTTCTAGTTCTAATCCGTAGGGGGCACGGGTGGCCCAGTCGTCTAAGGCGCCGCGATTCGCTGTGCAGAGTTGCGTCCCTTGGGCACGCCAGAAACCTATGATTGTGGGTTCAAATCCCGGTTCGACCCGATTATGTTTCTAGGTTTGTCAGCACCACACCCGTGCTCGTGGGTTTCACCGAAGTGATAAACGTCTGGGACCTGCATCACTTCGGGCTTTCCTCCTACATTAAGCTGACACGCCGCGATATAACTGGAATACTGTTAAAAGCGGCGTTAAACCCAACTCACTCACACTCTAATCCGGAATCTGGAATGTGCCATGTTTTATCGAATTTGTAGCACAGTCGATAAACATTAAAAAAGTGTAAGACAATTTAGGCTGAACGAATTTTTATTATTCATATCATGTACATCTTGCAAGAGGATGCATTCTGACAGTTCCTGACAGATCCTACTGTATGTCTTCAGCAATGTTCTGAAACAGAAAAAGATATACACGTTGCAATTTTGTCTTATGACACCGGACGTAACTCGTCATCTTTAAGCAAAAATAATTAATGTTCGCATAAATGTGTGTCATTACGTGTAGTAGAATCATAATTTTATATACTGATGGAAGAAAGAAAAGCAACAGCAATATTACCAGATAATGTTCACTGCTGTGTCATTAAGTGGACAGTTAGTATATGATGTTCAGTGTTGAGTCATTGAGTGAAATATTATTAGTGGTTTGAGTGCTGTACGTACGGTATCACACAGTGCAGTATGGCGGAATGTCGAACACAGTGAAGTCCCTGATGCCGGGACGAACGTCGTTGTACCCGAGAGTTTCAAGAGCGTTTCCTCCTGGACGGTTAGAGTATATTTCACAGTTAGTACATTTGCCTTGGTGTTATTTTACGCTGCAGTCAGCAATATTTGAGATATTACGCGGCGGTCTGTACATTGTTTACTCTGGGCTAGGAAACCTGTGGTTGATCTTATGCCATCCGATTTCCTTTTATTTACAAATCTTGGTTATTTTATCTTCTTCTGAGCTCTTTCGAATTTGGGAAAAATGTTCTGTCTTATAATGATCAGAGAAAATCCTACAAAACAAACACCAGCCTAAAACACAAGTTTTCGGTTATTCACCTTGCTTCTTTCAAAAGTAGAATCGAAAGGACGATGAATGTCCCTTCGACATGAATATTACTCGCCTTCGAATAAGTGTTCAAAGTCAGTCTAATTATACTTAAATCTTTTACTGCGATACTATATCTCCGTGCGTGAAGATCTGACAATCGCTGAAAATGAAAGATGCGTGGGTTCTTGAGCCAATCAGATGTCGTCTTTCTAAAACGTTTCGGTTTCGGTTTCGCTTCACCATCTCGATTAAAAAATTCGATTTTAACGAACGAAAACCCACAGAAACGCCAATATCCACAACGATCAAATGGTGCGACCTTTATTATCTTCATTCGGACAGGGGGCACGGGTGGCCAAGTCGTCTAAGGCGCCGCGATTCGCTGTGCAGAGTTGCGTCCCATGGGCACGCCAGAAACCTATGATTGCGGGTTCGAATCCCGGTTCGCCCCAATTATGTTTCTAGATTTGTCAGCACCATACATGTGCTCGTGGGTTTCACCGAAGTGGTAAACGTCTGAGACCTGCATCACTTCGGGAATTCCTTCCACATGAAGCTGACACGCTGCGAAATAACTGGAATACTGTTAAAAGCGGCGTTAAACCCAACTCATTCACTCACTCACTCATTCGGACATGGTCGTTTAACTTCCTTGTCGAGATGCAGAAATCAGATATGCTGGTTTGAAGGCTTCGCTCATTGGCACCAAGGATTATAAGCCTTGACCCAGATTGGCTGATTAGAATACTCACCTTCACGCAGAAAGACAGTGTATAGGAGTAAAAGATCATATTTTAATGACATTGGTTCAACTTGGCTTTAAAAACTCACTCATTCTGTCCGTAATGAGCTGTGATGTCGTGGTATAACCGAAATTCAGTTCAAGGCGGCGTTGAACCCAACACACGCACATTTTAAGCATATGACATGCCCTGATATAAATGTTCAAAGTGGAGAAAAAATCAACACACTCACTCATGCTTTCCCCCATTTAGCTGACAGGGCTTTCTGTCAGAGAAATACTCTTCAAGCCGGCGTTAAACAGCTCATTCACTTTAAACCATTTGGCCGACACTCGACGTTATTACAGATACACTGTTCAAGGCGGCGTTAATGCTCACTCACTCAGCCCTTTCACTCACTCACTCATTCTTTCACTCACAAGTACTTACCTTGGCCGCCGATTGTGGTCGTGGTGATGACGATTGGTATACAGTCTTTCCGTGTGACGGTAGTCACGACGTTCTGATGTTCCCCGTTGACGGTTGTGCGATTGTAGGAGTATCCCTTTGAAGACAGCCTGCCAACACCGTAGCCATAAAAGAAAGGGCCCAAGGAGACGGCGCCGCCTGTGATTACACATAGTATTAAGATAGGAGCAGACCGTTTCATGCTTATAGTTGAGAAAGTGGATCCTTTCATCAGCACATATGCAGCTATCGTCGTTAATTCATAACCGCGACATTTCGTGATTCTATTTCAAGTGGCGAGGACTGTATGTATAAAACAAATGCTAGCCGAGTTTAACACTAAACATATTAAGGACAGTCTTAAATCCTTAATGGAAAAAAGCTTTTGCGTGTTTTATCTACATCTATACCAAATTTAAACAGATGCAATGGGCTGACATCTCACAACAGACCAACATATCTAAACATGTTTGAAACACTTGTGGCCGTGAGGGAGGGGCTCCCTTACAAAGTGGACTTGACAAGCAAAAGTACTGAACATGTAGTGTGGCTGAGGTGAGGTGAAATGGGGTAAATAACATCGCGTCCCAGATTATTGCACTTCTACAGCTTGTACTAGTACAAGTCCGGACTGATGCTGATGTATAGTGTCAATCTTAATGCATACCAATATCTTTTAAATGTATGGTTAAGACACGTCTTGAAGATCTATTCATCCAACAATGACATTCTGATATAGAGGCATCCTCAAAATCTAGATTCTATAAACTTATCAAATACAAAACAAAAACAGAATTCTACAAGGATAATTTCCCAAAATATACCACATGCCACTGTAACATTTTAGATTGTCTTGTCAAAGGGTACAAATTGAAAAAGGTCGCTGGACAAAAAAATAAAAGTTGAAAGGACATGTCCATTCTGTAATGCAGTGACATTGCTGATGAGTGTCATTATATCTTAATTTGTGAAAAGTTTGTTAACCATCACCCGAAATATATCTATTCTTATTATACAAGAAATCCTTCCATATTTAAACTAGTGAAATCGTTTGCTGTTGTTAATCTTAGTGCTCGATATTAAGGGGATAAAACAAAGACGGATCGGTTCGGAGTCAGTATAATGTGTCTGAGTCGGGTTTAACAGCGGCATGGTATCATGCTTGCACCCGTGAGTGGTCACGAATTGGTCAGCAATGTTCCAGCAGTGGTTGATAATGACAAACACACAGAAAGGCTTTTCATAACGTCCAACAACCGTCTTTCGTCGACTCTTGAGACATGCAAAGGGTACCGGGGGCCTACATTGACCGAATCCACACCATGTTATCTGTAGATAAAACATTCGAACATTTGTTGATATATTTAGAAATGACTTACTTGGAACACAAACACCCTCCTGGTCCTTGAACTTTCTTTGAAGGTGGAATGTTGTACACGTACGTGCCACTGTATCTATACGGTAACCAGTTCTCTGCAAACAAAAATCATTATTACCTTTTTACGAATTTTGTGAAAATGCAAGGCATAGGACAAAGTAGGCAAGGGCCCAACTTCAAGTTTTAAAGTACTGAAAACTTGGAAAGACTTGTTTGAAAGTTGGCAGACTTGTTCATGAGCAAATCCTATATCCAATATACATTTTTAACCATACAATTTACTGTCTTGATCTACATCTCAAACAGAAACACTCAGGTCAAAGTCTTTCTGATGTTCCAAAGTTAGAAAAGACGCAAACTGAAACAAGTCTTTGTGTCATATACCCATGCTGATAATTATTGCCACCCCAGATCTGAGACGCATGTATCTTGGAGGTGACAATATTTATTATACGTACATGGAAGTGTAACCTCACCTATTAATATGGCGTTGTAATAAGTCCAAACATGAACTGATAGAAGTATAATTCCAATAAATTTGATAACTGAGTTTTGCCCATTTCTAATTTTGTGGAGATGTGGCCTAATCATACTTGGTCATTTGTGCTTTTATGAATGCTTCCAGTGATATCGTCAAGGGACTGGATATTTTTTATGTATTAGTGTAACGGTGAAACATGAATAAATGTTTCAAATAAAAAAATGAAACATAATGTAGGCACTAAAACACTCAAAAGGTCTCGCCAACCTTCCTGTAATTGTAAAGCTTTCTTGAGGTCTCGCTTACCTTCTTGTGGTGGTAACACTCTCTGGAGGTCTAGCTTACCTTCGGGTAATCGTAAATCACTTTGGTGGTCGAGACGAATCCGTCGCTGAGATCACCGCTGATGACGTATCTTTGGTTGATACCGTCGTAGATGAATGAATACAAAGCCTGAAAATAAACAATAATACCACTAGGGGTCATTTTGCATTGTCAGTTTAGACAGATCTGAATCAAGGCAATATTTCTTAAATCTCAATTTAATCGAGGCAAATATGTGAAAGAAGTTGCAAAATCAGAAGGAGGGCCATCATCTAGAAGGTCCTAACACTAGAAACAAGAAACAAACCTCGAACAAGACAAATGCACCTCTACCTGAGATTATGCATGCCAAGATATCTAAAAGTTACTTCTAGTTTCGAAAACACACTTAATTCAACAAAATTTCAAACCAGTCCCCTGCCACCACCAAGCCATCTTCCCGAGGCAAGCGTGTTCCACAAGCCCATATCAAAGCCTAGTTTCTACCCTTGCCACATCACGAGTTGTGCCCCTTGTAAGGAAAACGCGATATCCAATCAGATCGCTGTTCTTATCTCGTGTAGCTTCACAAAGATGGCGACTACGATAGGCGACGACCTTGTCGATCAGATAACGAAAACATTCGCGATTTCATCCCAGACACAAAAACTTAGGCAATGGTTGAGGGTTTTAAAAGATGAAAAAGACATAATCGTGTCAACAAAGACAGACAGCGGTAAATCAATTTCATGCGAAGGTGTACCATTCGTGGATGTTGATTTTGTGAAATGTTCTCTGATTGGACTATTGATATGTACGATAGTCCAATCTACGTATCTGAAACCGAAATTAACTTAATAATAGATACTATTCGTCACGACTCAACACTTTCCGTAACCTGCTCGAAGACTCGTCCCCCTGTCGATGAATGTTATGTGCGAAAATACGACAAACCAATCAGAATGCTCGAATGAGTTTTGATTTTAGATATGTTTTGCATTTAAATATATACCCAAGATACAGGTCAATGTGTTCAATCATACTGTAGAATACTGAAAATACCGATGTGTTTTCAATAGCATCTGGAATAGCAATGATATATGTGGGAAATATACGTGAATCAGTTGACAATTCTTTTAGCTATGCCCGTTAACGCTGACCTTGACCCTCACGTGCTTTTATTTATAATTGGAATCATTGGGTCTCGCTCTGTGATACCGACCATTTGATATTTGGGGGATATTTAAAAATAAAAATAAAATGTTTCTGAAAAAAATGAAAAAAAAAACTACAAAATTTGTCCACAGGTTTGCCTAAATTGTTCGTCTCCTCCTTCGCAGTGACAATAATTGCGTGTTTTGAAGCCGTGACTGAAAGAATATACTACTCGAAAGAAGTTAACACATAATTCTTTCATATTACTATATTTAATCTGTCATTGCATGACATATTAACTATAGGTTATTCTTTGACGTGTTTCTTAATTGGAGATGTGATATATACCACAGACCTTTTGAGTAGTTTATATCATATCTCTAATTTAATAACATCCTTCCCTCACCCCCACCCCATGACGAAAAATATATGTTGAGTCACTTACAAACACGTCATACCAACCCGCTTGGTTGGCTCAGGTAATAAAACCATGCATTTCTGTGATTGAGGGTCAAGAAAAACCTCACCACTTCAATTCCATACCGAAATTATATGGATATTATTTTTGAAATCTCATTTGCCTTAATCTGCAACTCACGGTAGGCACCTACATGGACATTCTTTGCCTGTGAGGGAGTGGCCTAGGCTGTGTGGAGTCACAGTGGAGGCAAATAAAAAGGCTCTCTGCCAGGGAAGTTGGGCTAATTGTAAGAAAAGCACATGGAACAGACAGCTTACTTTGCTTCTTCACTGTATATAGGGCAAACTGAGTGAGCAGAGTGATAAGAGAAAACAATAACATAAGAAATGTAACTCTCATACACTTACTACTGTAGATGTTGCCTGTTCAGATAAGGTAAATACATGTACCGGTACATGAGCAACATGTTGGAAATATCCCTGAATATAGTCCTGTAAAATTTCTTCGAGCAAATGGCAATCGGCTTGTTCCGGAATGACTCAAATGATCACGAAAGCCTTTTATTAAGAGGTCAATTCAAAATTATGATTGAGGAACCTGATTTAATTTTACAAATAATAATACAATGTATTCATAGAACAGGGTTCGTTAGGTTATATCGCTGCTTTATTACAGCCAAGGCATACATGATAATCTTGTCATTCCAGGACAAACCGAAGCATTACCTTGAAGTTACGGAAAGGGGAGAGTGATTTCATATAATGAGAGGCGTTGTACTTACAGCCTTTGCAAACGTGGAGTTGACAATGGTGACATGTTGCACCGCACTGAATCTCACTGGAGGACAGCAGGTGCTGGCACTGGCTGTCACAGAAAGACCAGCGAAGAGTAAGGCTGCTTGCAGGATCATTTTGGATGGGGAATCGTTGCAGATGTATGCGCCAAGTCCTCTATCAAACTCGCCCTGACGAACGAACGAAAATCGAAGCTGCTTCGCTTTTATGCATCCTGAGGAGCATTACGTGGTGCAGAATTACAGCTCAGATGACATGTTTATGCGTCATGTTAATTCCCAGTTTATATAAGTTGTAATATACACGCAATTTACATACAATGCCAGACTATTTGCAATCAATGCATATATGAATAATAATCTGTGTTCTTGAAGTTTAGTTGAAGAGGGTTCAAAATATGAAACTTGTCAAACGACGTCCCTGATACGTTTGCTTCTTTTATATTTTTTTACCTTCAAATAACCTCATACGAATTTACGAAGTGCAGATAGGTTTCATATACAAAGGTTAAAGAGCTTGAATGAGAGAGAGATGACGGTATTGTAATGTAAATCCACACACGAATGGCTCTGCATTTGGCATTTATAATGCCAACTGGACCTTTTTTTATTACAAAAGGGAAGTCCCACAGAGATGCTGGCAAAGCGGGGTCCTTTTCACGATGGTTGTTGGATATTTTTGTTGTCATTTCTAAGCTCCACCACAAAGTTTGCGTGGAAAATAGGAACGGAGTTCGTCCGTCCGTCCGTCTGCTTCTCAAAGGAGACAACTTTCAACAACAAAAACTATTTAAGTCAGAGACATTTCACACATTTATGTTAATGGTCATGATCTCAAATGAGTTCGAAAATTAGTCATTTTTTACAGAGTTCAGGCGCTTGCTCCGTGCTTTTCAACTTCGTGCTTTTCAACTTTGTGCATGCTGCGTGAAATGGGGACCAGTGTTCTCAAACTGCTAAAGTTACATAAATACTCATTTGTGTGCTGATCTAAGAGATACTTGTCAAGATTGAGTTAAAACAATGGTCCCGGAAATCATTTGTTTACACAGTTACGACCCTTGATCCATGTTATGTTACTGAGTGCATTGTGTGTGCTATTGGACAAGATTTCTCAGAAGTAACGGAAGTAACAAACACAGGTTTGTTTGTTTTTGTTGTTGTTTTTTTTACAAACTATAGGTTTAGAGAATATAGTTCACATGTAATCTTAAGTGCATACATGTTACAAAGTATAGATTCTATTGTTAATAATAACTATTCCAGTGTCAGGATGGCAAGACATCTTTGTTGGATTGTGTAAGTTCGTGGGTTTACATTAGTGAATGGTGACAGAGTGACCAAAATTTCATGAACTGCGTGTATTGAGATTGTGAATATGATATATTTCTGTCGATGTAATATGAGTTGGTTATTTCTTGCGTGATGTTTTGGAAATATGGAATGGAGTTGGAAACGTTGGACACGTTTTGACAAGTTTTATTTTATTTTATTTGACGCCAAATGGCGCATAGTGCTGCATATAAACTGACGTCCAAAAGAAACTTTACCAGAGTTTGAAATCACTCTTGCTCAAAAACAACAAAACATACATGCATGAAGTAAAGTGTATTGAGAAGATCAATATATCAACACAATCAACACTGAAAATGACAATCATACCGCGTCCGAAGATGACGTCAGAGCCCCCCAAAGTTGGGTGTGGTACAAAACTCGGGCTTTCAGAATCATGGACAATAGGCAGAGTACATAAACAATCGCTCACGTTCAATAACAAGTCATTAGTAGCGTGTGTGACCACCAAATGCCTCAAAACACGCAAAAACTCTTCGACGCACAGAAAAAGTCAGTCGTCTGATGAGGTCAAGTGGGATTTGACGCCTTACTTCTTGGAGGGCCAAGATCAGTTCTTGCCGGTTGGCTGGAAAGTAGTCGTTGTCGAACACGACGATCCATCAAGTCCCAGAGGTGTTCTATGGGGGACATGTCGGGTGAGCGTGCAGGCCACGGCAGGACGTTGACGTTGTTGGCTGCGAGGAAGTTAGTGACAATTCTGGCTGTAAGGGCTCTAGCGTTGTCATGCTGATAAATGACACCACGTGGCTGCTGTTGGAGAAATGGTAGGACAACTGGACGAAGAATGTTATCCATGTAACGCTGAGCTGTAAAGTTTCCGTCAACGATGACCAGCGGTGTCCTCTCCTGCCCACAGATCCCTCCCCACACCATGACACTCCCTCCACCATATGGTACGACCTCCTGCACGCAACACGCCGCTTTTCGTTCACCCCTTCGGCGGTAAACACGTTGTCTTAAATCAGCCCTAAACATACAGAATCGTCAGTGAAGACAACGCTCTGCCAGTCACGTCGTTGCCAACGTCGTACAGTCTGGGCCCATCTCAATCGCAGACGACGATGTAACGCTGTCAATAGCTGTAAGCCCTGATTCCATGAGCCCTGAGTCTCCTGGCCACTGTCTGTCGACTAACCCTGTGACCTAAGGCATTTTTCGCCGATGTCGTCACTGTCAGGAAGCGATTTCGGAGGTGCAAGGTACGCAAGTACCGGTCATCATGGGGCGTGGTCACCCTGGGTCTGCCTGTTCTTGGCCTGTCAGCGGTCCGCCCTGTCGGTCTGTAACGTTGCATCAAGTTGGTAACGGCAACACGGGAGCAACCGAAGGTTCGTGCAATATGGGCGTGGGTGGCTCCCATCTGTACCATACCCAAGGCTCGTTCACGTTGTTCGACTGTGAGTCGTGGCATTTCTTTTGTGTTTTTTTTATCACTGTGGATGTCTGACTTGCCGTTGCAATCGTTTTATACCCTTACCCGCACGTGCATTTGCAGTTGTCCGTGGTGCACGTGTTTTTCACTTTTTCGCGTGTTATCTCGCAAACATGTAACAGACGATTAACATTTTCTGCATACACTATTGTTGTATTTAGGTTATGTGTTTTAGGTAGACTTCATCGAAAAAAAAATATACTTTGTCTGAAATTTATATTTTCAGTTGGTAAAGTTTCTTTTGGACGTCAGTTTACAAACATGTACAAGTACATATAAACTGGGCGGCAAAAGAAAGTATAGGTCGAGTTCCATGATCGATGAAAAAATAACAAGAAGAGGGTTTGTTGTGAATTATAATATATTCTAGGGAGGGGTAACAAATGATTGATCAACCACAGTTTGAATGACATTGTGCAATCACAGGTAATGTAAGCTCAAGGTAAACAATGGTGGGATAAGAAATTTCATTTTCAAAAGTTGTCTGAAATGTCACCAAAACATTGTCAGACACACTACAAGTTCATTGTCGACACAGTTGCCTTCAATAGCGTGTATGACCTCCAGCTGATCAATGCATGCTGTGATACACCGCCTCATCGATGATGTCAGTCTTCTGATGACGTGGACTGGAATCCGTTGCCACTCGTCTCTCAGGGCCTGCTGCAATTCTTGTATGTTGACGGGAGGCTGATGGCGTGCTCTAATCTGTCTGTCAAGATGGTCCCACAGATGTTCAATAGGAACGTCAACGTTCTGCTGGTTTAGAAAGTTCCGAGTCAGTCTTGCAGTACGGGGCCTGGCATTGTCGTGTTGAAACAATGTCACCTGCTGTTGGTTGTGTAAGAACAGAAGCACAACTGGCTGCAACACTTGGTCTCTGTACTGCACAGCGTTCAGGTTTCCCTGTATAATCACCAAATCAGATCTTCTGATCTCCACAAATACCGCCCCACACCATGACACCTCCCCCGCCGAATGGATGGACCTCTCGAATACACGCTGGAGCCAAACGTTTCCCTCTGCGTCGATAAACTCGTTCTCTGCCGTCATTTCGAAACAAGTTAAACCGACTTTCATCAGCACTCGACGCCAATTTCTCACTTGCCAGCGTCGATCCTGCCTCGCCCATCGCAGTCTCAGGCGTCAATGTTGAGCAGTCAGTACCATTCTTCTGAAAGGACGATACGCTCGGATTCAAACAGCACGAAGTCGTCGTAGTACTGGACGTTGGCTAATGGGATGTCCCAACGCTGTTGCTCCCGTCGCCGTCGCCGTTACGAATCTGTTTCGCAGGTGAATGAGCCGTATCTGACCGTCTTCCATTGGTGCAGTCACTCGGGGTCGTCCGGTTCTAGGCCTGTCCTGTGTCCTCCCTGTCTGCCTGTACCGTTGAATCAGCCTGGCTCCTGGCAATGGTGTGCAACCAAACCTTCTGGCAATTTGGACCTGTGTTGCCCCCATTTCGGCCATACCGGTGGCTCTCTCTCTCTGCTCCTGTGACAGTCTCGGCATTTCTTGTGTGTGCTTTCATCGCGTGTGGTTATTCCCTGCATACGAACGCATTTATACAGCTAACATGCACGTGCAGTTTATGCCATAGGCGGGAAACCTGTTTCACCATTTTTTGTCACCGCACGAGCGCCGTCAAAGGTGGCGCGTTCGGGTGAGGTGTTTTTTGTTTCCTGTTCCTTGGCAGTCATATTCCCAATACCAACTTTCCACTCGTTATTGCTGTTTTTAGGAAAATTACAAATTGCCAACCTATACTTTCTTTTGCCGCTTAGTTTATATCAATAATGGGTGAGTGAGTGAGTTGGGTTTAACGCCGCTTTTAACATTATTCCAGTTATATTACGGCATGTCAGCCTAATGTGGGAGGAAAGCCCGAAGTGATGCAGGTCTCAGACGTTTACCACTTTGATGAAACCCACGAGCACGGGCATGGTGCTGACAAACTTAGAAACATAATCGGGTCAAACCGGGATTCTAACCCACAATCATAGGTTTCTGGCGTGCCCAAGGGACGGAACTCTGCGCAGCGAATCGCGGCGCCTAAGACGACTGGGCCACCCGTGCCCCCATATATTAATAAGGTGCTTATCTGGGTAGGTTTCTCTTTAGGTATAAAGATACACTTTTAATAACTGCAGGGTTCAAGGATGACAGAAGTCTGACTAATTTATCAATGGAAGGATTAATATAATAATACAATAATACAATGCCTTTGATATCTTATCATGCCAATTCTGCAACTCCAGATCTTTACATATCTGTGAAAACGTGCTCAAAAAAGCTTTAACATTACCACAATCCCGAGTGACCCAGACATATGATAAACCAGTTACGAATAATAACTTAGGAATGTGTGTTTATTGCACTAATATCATCAAAGATCCGCAACATATCATAGCA